CCCTCGCTGGAGAGGGGAACCCCCCTCTCGCTGGGGAGGGGAACCCCCCCTCGCTGGAGAGGGGAACCCCCCTCTTGCTGGAGGGGGGTTCTAGGGAGTCTCCCCCAGCAAAATTTTAAAAATTTGAATGTTAAAAATTGTTATAGGAGCATTTTCACAACGGCGATGTTAAATTTGACAATTGGCGGCGCGCCACTGTGCATCTTATGTATAAGAAACGTTGTGTAGTATAGTATAGTATAGTATAGTATAGGGGGCATCTCTGAGATATACGTGAGAGAACCTGTTTCGTGTTGAATGACTTCAATAACGTACGTTATTGTAATACGTATCATGCTGTAATAACAAACGTAACATGAATGTTTCTATCCATGAATTAGGAAGGGTCAGCTGTTGAGCGTCAAATCGGAGAAGACGTCTGAGGTGAATATGTGGGACGCACTAAAGCACTGCATGCGTGAGGACTGGAAAGGCAAGGTTATTACCGACTACACGTGCTGCGAAAGTGCCCTTCTTGACAAGCTTAAAGGTACTGTCATGTGTTATTATAAATGAGTGTAGTATGTGTTCGACACACACACACACACACATATTAATATCAATAACTGGATTTTTAAATTGACGAATGTGTCTTTGTTAGCAGTCCGCCATTGCAAAATTCCTCGATTATTGTGGTATGTTTATCCTCGTGACATTTCTTTTCTATTTCTCCCGATAGGTGGCGCACCAGCACCCGTGCCTTATTATATCATCTTCCTTGAGTTAGAGGGCGACGCAGCATTGACTGACAATGAGAAGCTGAAGGTACGTGCGCCCACTCTAGATGTTGGCTCTGATCATCTCCCAACTTGTTAATGATTTGAATCAGGGGTCGTTCAATAACTAATCTGACCTGACTTCGGATTTTAATCGCTTAGCACACCCTACAAACTACAATAAGCTTAATGGCTTTGGTTTTGGATGGTCAGTGCTGCAGTATCACAACAACAGTGTTCTTAGGCACGCACGATAATGATTTTCTCCGTTTACGGAGCACAGAACGATCGAGCAGAAAGCGCAGAAAGACCTACCCGATCACACAAAAATAAATCGGCGTGGAAAAAAAACGATAAAAATAATATCACGTTGATTTCGCTCGTCTGTTGGCAGCTGGATGAGAGTCTACGCAGGGTGACTTATCCGTACGAGTCGTTTCGCTGCAAGGACAGCATCGCCCCGATGGTCGTGCATGTCGTACCGGTGGGATGCTTTGCCGAGTTTCGCGGCTTCATCGTCGGAAACTCGATGGCTTCGTCGAACCAGCTGAAGATCCCGCGGATGCTGTCACAGGCGAAGCAGCTCGCGTTTCTGTTGGACCGCATCAAGTAGGGAGAGACTAGGCTGAGTGGCAGACCAGCTACTATGGGTGGCAGACCAAGCTTACACGCGGTGGACAGACCAGCCTACACGAGGTGGACAGACCACCTACACGGTCGTTTATTCGGGGTGCCAGACCGAGCTAAAACACGTGGGTGGCAGACCAGCTCACACGGGTGGGTCCTTGGCAGACCGAGCTACACGGTTAACCCCGGTGGCGCGTGACAGCACCAGCTACACGGGCTGGCAGACCAGCTTACACGGGTGGCAGACCAGCCTACCGGTAGTCGCGCGTGGCAGACAGCTACACTGGGCTGGGCAGACAGCTTACACGCGTCACCTCCCCATTCTCACTTCGTCACCTCTGTGGCATGGCAGACCAGCCTACACGGGTGGCAGACCAGCTACCACGGGTGGCCAGGACCAGCCCTACACGGGTGACAGACCCAGCTACACGTGGTGGCAGACCAGCTACACGGGTGGCAGACCAGCTACACGCGGTTGGCAGCAACCAGCTACACGGTCCTACGTGGGTGCGCAGACCAAAGCTACATGGCTCGTGGGTGGCAGACCAAGCCTACACGGGCTGACAGACAGACTACACGGTATCTCCATCTATCTTTGTGCAGGTGGCAGACCAGCTACACGGGCTGGCGCACCAGCTACACGGACCCGTGCAGGGTGGCAGACCAGCTTACACGAGGGCTGGCCAGACCAGCTAATACGCGGTGGCAGCACCAGCTACACGGCGTGACAGAATACCAGCTACACGGTAGTGGGGTGGCAGACAGCTACACGCGTGGCAGACCAGCTACACGGGCTGGTGCGCCAGACCAGCGCTACACGGGTGCGCAGCACCAGCCTACCGGGCTGGCAGACCAAAGCTACACGGCGTGGCCCCAGACATCTACTCGGGTGCAGCACCCAGCCTACACGGGTGCGCGGCCCAGACCAGCTACCATGGGTGTGCAGGACCAGCTACACGGGTGCGCAGACCAAGCTACACGAATCCCTGTGGCGTGGCAGACCAGCATACACGGTGGGTGGCAGACCAGCCTACACGGGTGCGCCAGACCAGCCTACACGGGTGGCAGACCAGCTACACGGGTGGCAGACAGCTACACTGGGTGGCCTGACCAGCTCTACACGGGCTGGCAGACCAGCTACACGGTCACGTGGGTGGCCAGCACCAAGCTACACGGGTGGGTGGCAGACCAGTACCACGGGTGGCCCAGACCAGCTACCACGGGTGACCGGCTGCCAGACCAGCTACACGGCGCGTGCAGACCAGCACACGTGGTGGCAGGACAGCTACAGGTGTGGCGTGCAGACCAGCCTACACGGCCCCATCCTCATGTTGCGGTGGCAGACCACACACACGGGTGCGCCAGACCAGCTACACGCGCACTCCTGGTGGTGGCCAGACCAGCTACACGGGTTGGCCAGACCAAGCTACACGCGGTGGCCCAGAACCAGCTACACGGTGCCCAGACCAGCTACACGGTCGTGGCGTGGCCAGACAGCTACACGGGGGGTGGCAGACCAGCTACCACGGGTGGCAGACCAGCTACACGGGTAGGCTGCGCAGACCAGCTACACGGTCTTTGGTGGCAGACCAAGCTACCACGAGTGAGACCAGCTACACGGGTGCGGCAGACCAGCTTACATGCGTTCGTGGGTGGCCAGACCAGCCTACACGCCCAACTTCATTATCCTCGTGGCCGTCGCGCAGCCACCAGCATACACGGTGTGCAGACCAAGCTACACGGGTGCAGCACCAGCTACATGGGGCGTTGCAGACTGTAGAGTCTAGGGATTGCACATGCCGGTAGACAAGACCAGGGTGTGATAGGCGACAGTTACCCCTGAGAGTATATATTTTATGCCTTAGACGCTTGTGATGTGAGAATCTGTGGGAAGAGTTAGCAAACGTACATTAATTTCTGCGACTATTAATTGCACGGGTAGGCATAGCCAGGCTTCTTAGCGTCGGTTGTGATTGAATGCTGACGGTTGACCGAGTGCACTCGCAACTCACTGCGACTGCAGTGCTTAGGTCGACGACGACGCGACTGACAGCGCACTGCCCTTCTGACCAGCTCGCCGCCGCCCAGCTCGCCAGAAAGCGCTTATGGTCGAAGCGACGCATCGCCTATACGATGGCCCCGCAACTAAATGAGTTTCCATGACTTGTTTCGCTGTGTGCATGTTGTGTACATGGACTGTATGCCACTGCATTGTTTTATTCGCGTGCATTGTTCATTATGCATACGAATCTTGTCCCAGTGATCGCAGCTGCAGCCTGATGTATCGGGGTAAAAACAATGCTCTCGCGAACGGTGGAACTAGTCACGTTACGCTCAGCCAAAAGTAGAAACATGTGCCGACTCGCCCTGTGACTAACAATTTCTCCAGTCGCTGAGCGTCGCAGACCCCGTCGCCTGATGGGTGCGCTTAGGTCGAACATTTCTCTGCGAAGCGATCTTTGCTGCACTTGCAACCATGCTTGACAGCAAAATCAGTTCCCAGGCCAATCGCCCGCTCCCCCCATCGCGTCGCCTAAGGCCGACCTAAAGCCCGGCTTTAGCCTACGCAAGTAGATGCCGTACACGCCAAACAAAACAGCGTGGCCCAAATTCAGTTTATTAAACTAGATCATGCGACAAGCTGTTTAACCTTAAATTATGCCAAATTTAGGTAGATTTTTAGGCAAATTTCCTATTATTTCAGTGTCTCTGCCCTTATGCGTTCAACGATAACTCATAGAACCGTTTGACCCACATGGTTTTCAAATTGAATACACTTGTTACTCCTATGGCCGAGCATGTTTGAACGTCCTATTTGGCAGCACGCCACTCGACCTACTTTCGAGCACGTCCACTTTTTGGCAATACATGCGAAATGGCCATAAGTCAATATCATGGGCTTCAAACAGATTTTGCCTTATTTCTAGAGTTAGGTGAATGAATATTAGGACTGGCCCCAATAACATATACACACGGGCTTTGATATTTTTTTTAATTATGCAAATTAGGGCTAGATTTCTGCGCAATTCACTATGCCATTAAGTGTCTGCCTACGGTCAACGATAACTCAAGAACCGTTTGACCCACATGTTTCAAATTGAATACACTTCGTTCAACTTCCTTTATGGAGACAGATTTGCAACTTCCTATATTTGCTAGCACGCCAGCTCGACCTACTTTTTGAGCCACTCCCACTTTTTGGCAAAAATGAAAATGAGCAATCTACAATTCATTCGATTTTGTTAAAATTTTGGCTATGTGAATTGTGTAAGGCTAGCTCAAAACAGTGTTACTCCTATGGAGAAGCATGACAACGTCCTATTACGTTTATTTCGTTCTAACTTGGTCAAACAACTCACAATCATACCTATATACGTGTAATATCTGTGCTATTTTAGATTTTTCGTTACAGTAATTTGACTGGAATATTTTATTGTCTTTTATCTTGCACGCATATTCGAACAACCAAAAATGAGCGATCATTTAGGCGTAGCACCATTTTCTCGTCAAGATTTCAGACTTTCAGATAAACTCAAACACTTTATTTTCGCATCAAAACTTATGCATATATCAGCTATTCAAGAGTATATAATGGGAGATATGCTATATAATGGGAGTTCTCCCATATATACTCTTGCTTTATATATTCCCCCCCCCCTTCCTCTTTTATCACACCCAAGGTGAGCTACAGTGTCATTGACACTTTCATTAGTTTTTGCATTAACACAAACATTGCAAAATATCCCAAATAACCACAATCATATTTGTAAATGTTTCTGTAAACAGAGGTACGATGTTATAGTGAAGAGAATTATAGATCAAAAACCTAGACTAGTCCTATATCCTATAACCATGTTATTAGGGGTATTGATAGACTCGATCCTGATGTTATATATAGGCAAGTTATCTTATCTAGAGCTTATCTGATCTCAATATGGCTGCCCTAACCAGGATGTGATATTACCAGGAGTAAGATAATATACCTTATACCTTATACCTTATACCTTATATAATTACTCCTGATATTACCTGACAAGGTTCTATAACTGGTAAGCTGCCAAATGTTGAGATTGTATGGTTTTAATAAGCCATATCGGGAAGTCCCCGCCGCCATATTGAGATCAGATAAGAGGGGGTATAACTTGCCTATATATAACATCAAGAGTAAGCTAATAACCCCCAAAGTTATTATCTTACTCTTGATAACATGGTTAGGATAGGACTAGTCTAAGTTGTTGATATATATATATTCTCCTCACTAACATCGTACTTCAATTCACAGGTGCGTTTCTGTTTACAGAAACATTTACAAATATGATTGTGGTCATTTGGGATATTTTGCAATGTTTGTTAAAACTGTTTGTTTAAAAACGTTTAAAAATGTTTTGTTTTTTTTGCAAAAACTAAAAACGCCCGAGTGTTTACGTTAATCATGTACTTTCCTATATATACCCATTTTTCTGTGACCTAATGTTATTTATTCCTCTATCGGCTGGAACGTCTATACACAGGGAACCACCACACATCATCATCACGCCATCGCCAGATATATTTTTCGCAGGGATTTTCTGTTGTCTGTCAACTTGGCACATTACATGTTAGAAATCCGCCGAGTTCAACGCTGAATTCATCGCGTTATCGCTGCTTGAAAATGCCATGTCTTTGTCGAGTATTTGCACGCGCAAAATGAGCGTTTTACGCCGGGAAAGCAAGGCGCATTGAACTGAACCATGACCTTGAATGCTCCTCTTCACTGAAACTGTTTGCATGACGCTGATGCGGGTTTTACGCGGAGATAGGCGGTTGTTCACACTGCCAGCTATAGAAATGATGTAAAAGGGCGCACGAGCCAAAGAATGGTTACAGAATTCTGGTGAGAATGGGGGAGTAAAGCGATGACTCCGCACATGAATTCTTTTATGTTAACGAACTTTTGCGTGGCAGTGTAAAATTGCGAGATATTGAATCCTGTTCTGCATAATGTCCATCGGTTTTAATAAATATATTTTCACGTATCAGAAGGCTGCACATTATAGTTTGTCACTCAAAA